CCAGCGGCGGGGGAGTCCTCTGATCCCTCTGACCGCCGGGAGCAGCGGCGGGGCTCTCCCCGCGGCCACGAAAGAGGGGGCACGGTGTGGAGTTTGGAGAAGCTCATTGCGGAACCCCTATTCCCATGACCTCCCCCACACCTCCGGGACAGGGGAGAAGGGGCTGGAGGTGCTGGCTCCTGTTTATTTGTCTAAGGGGAAAACGTCGGCGTGGGGGGCCCAGGGCCGCGCTGGAGCCCCTTTCGCCATGCGGACGTGCCGTTCGGCGGGCAGTGGCAGCGGCGCTGCGGCCGGGGCGGTGCGGGGCAGGCGGGCAGGGGCACCCGGGTCAGCGCGGGGCCGCGAACAAGTCGCGGAGCGGCTCCTGCACGTGGGCGCTGCCGCGGCTGGGCCGGCGCTGGGGCCCGGCGTGCGCCCGGAGGGATCCGCCCGCACCGCTGCTCTCGGGGCTGCCGGGCACCGGCCGAGGGGTCCACTCCGGACCGGGGGTCCCGGCCTTCCCCGCCCAGGGACGAGGCTTTCACAGGGCCTGTCTGCGCCTGTCCTGTGTCCGGCCCGCCGCCCAAAGGTCACCGCGGCTAGTCCGGCTTCTCGCTACGGGCCACATTAGCGGAGCGGCCATTTACTGCCCCGGGATTGCAGCGCGGCCCGGGTTAGCCCATAAAGCCATTCACACTCAACAATGGGGATTTTCTCAACAATTAACAAGAAACAACATAATAAATCCATTTACAAAGCCCTCGCTATTTACTATAAATTAGCCACTCTTTAAGAGACCGGTGCGTAATTTCACACGCTTTACAGCCCCGGCTGCATTTTAGACGCAAGAGCAAACAGCCCTATTGGACTTTCTGCGCTGACCTCTCTCCCCGTCCCCTCCCGGGCCGGCTCCGCGGGGGGCGGAGGGCGCCAGGGCCGAGCTGGAGCCCGGGCCTCCCCCGGCCGCTGCCTGGCCCCGAGCCGGCATCTGCCCAGAGGGCCCCGCGCAACCTCCGTGGGCTTCCCCCCCTGGCTCGTCCTCGGCTCGGAGCGGGCAGGGCGGGAGGCGGCAGGGCCGCGCCACGGGAGAGCCCGGGAAGATGGACGCCCCGGCGGAGGGGCCGGAGGGGGTGCAGGGTGGAAGCCACGGCCCCGCTTTGAAGTGCGGAACCCCCGGAGATTGCCGCGCCGCCCCCGCCGCCGCGGGACCCTGGCCGAGGAGTGCGGAGCCGGGCCAGGGAGCCGGGCGGAGGCGGGGAGCCGGGCCGGGGAGCCGGGTGAGGTTTCCGCGGTGCCGGCAAGATGGCGGCCCGAGGGCGCGGTGGTGTGCCCCGGGCGACGCGCAGGGGCCGCCCCGCCGCTCGGGGGCCGGTGCGCTCCCGCATTTTTTTGATTTCACTCTCCTCTTTTTTTTTTCTCTCTCTTTTTTTTTTTTTTTTTTTTTAATTGTAATTTCCAGGCAGCGGCAGCTCGGCCGCGCGGAGCGGGAGCGAGGCCGGCGCGCTCCTCCGTCCTCCCCCCTGTTTACAAACACAGCTGTTGCCGTGTATTTGCAATGCTAAGGGTAAAGCCACCAGCAGCGAGGAGCAAACGAGAGATGGTGCGGGAGAGGGGTCCTCGGCATCTGGAAAGGACAGGGCGCCTTGTTTTTGAAACTGTCAATTCCCTCAACCCCTATTGTGAGCGCTTCATGCAAAACATCTCGGGGCTTTTAAAGCGGGGGCTTGTGAGGCCGCCTCGGAGAGAAAGGGAGAGGGGGAGAGAGAGGGGCCTAGGGCACGGGAAATAATTATATCAGCGCAGTGAAAAAATGCAACGTGTAAGGCCTAAACCCGGCTCGCTGTCCCTTCCCCAAAGGTTTTTGGGCAGGCCGGAGATGTTAGACCACGGCTTGCAGGGCCATGTACCAGGGGAATGGGTAATGTCTGCAAGCGTGACTTCAGCAACACAGATCCCAATACTTCCCTCCTGATTTTGCTAGCCAGGGCTTTTCATTTTCAGGCACTCGCCCTCCTTTTGTACCTCCAAGCTGACCAAATAGATTCCAGGATGAACCATCACATATTCTTCCCAGCAATCCTCTTAACCATAAAAACCACAATTAACAAGGTTATCTGTGTTTCATGTTCTCCAACATACTGCATATGTAGAATATTTTCCTGCAGATTACCACCGTGTGTCAAAAATGCCACTTTTTTTACCCTTTTCTGTCTCAACCACTCACATGTGTGAACAGTGACAAACATAAACATGATAGCATTGCTCTCATTTCTGCAGAAACTTTAATTTATTGGCAACTAAATCTGTTAGAGGTAAAGAGATCAGAGACCATGTAAAAAATCACCATGTGAATTGATTAAACAGCAAACTTCATAAAACAGCTACCACTATTTTGCATTATTGCTAGTAGTGGTGTTTTAAATAAACAATCAGTAAAGAGATTATCGCACTGTATCAAGTAAGGGTAGCTTATATAACAATCGGTTCCTAAAGTAAATTGCTGTAAACGGCAAGTTACATCTTTTAAGGCAATATACCTCGTTGCTGAAGGCATTACACGTGTTCCCTTTTTAATGCTCTAGAGAATTAAACAGAGTCCAAAACTTTCTTTGTCGTCCATCTGGCAGCAGAAATCTTCACAATAAATTTACCAGTGAACTCTACTTATGGCAAATACCTATGCAGTATAATCCATAAAGTACACGCACTTCCCCCAGTTGCTTTTTCCTCTAGAAAATTCTGTTGATTTGTGTGTACACCAGGAATTGGGAAATGGTGGCAATTCATTACTAATATATTTTAAGTTTTATCTCCTGTAAACATTGCAACAAAATGGTAGCCTAGCTCCCTTGGAAAACCTTGGGTTTTCCTCATTATTAGAACTTACCTTTATGGGAGAAAATTGGTTATTTTTACGTAACCCAGTGATAAGACTTCACGTGATTAAGGCTGAAATGATAATGAACTCTGATCGCAATAATAATTACAATGTCATCAGAAACAGTTACCAAACTACCAGAATTGGAGAGAATACCTTTTTTTTCAATCCCCCTCCCCTTTATTTTTTCCCTAGTGAGTTATTGTACCTGGCTAATTTCTCCAGCGGCAGTAAAAACACGAATGTCCCTGTTAGTGGCTTGCACTAAACTGAGGTGTGCACGTGTGAAAATTATTTGGCTGTTTAACTCCTTGCCGTTTGCTGCTGCCTGGGCGGAGGAGAGCCAAGCGGAGCAGCCTGCCGGGGATGCCCGGGGGTGCCTGGAGCTCCCGGGCCGCTGGCAGGGCTGGGCGCCATATTTCACATCCTCAACTCTGCAGAGCCTATTTGGTATAAATTTATGCTTATTCCTCCCCCTCCCGACCACCCCCCCCCCGGATTATTTCAGGAACCTGAAAAGGCACCTCTATAATTTACAATTCCTGGCCAAATCAGCATATCTCTAATTGGAAGTAAACAGGGTCAGGGGGACAGAGTTACTTTGAAAGTGATACGTTGTTTAATTGACAAGGCAAAATTTTAGGTTTCAGGTTTGCATATTGCACTTTTGTAGCTTTTGGCTCTTTTTTTTTCTTTTTCTTTATCTTTTTTTTTTTTTTTTTTTTTTGGTCAAGTGAAGACCTTTGTCAAGCAGACACGGTTTCTAACAGAGCAGGGGTCTTTCCTGAGCAGTACATTTTGTACGTACTTACAGTTCTCTGGAAATAAGGCTGTATTCTGTGCAGCTCTAAACACACGAACGTAAACATTCATCTCAGAACAACTTCAGTAAGCAGATTTTTCATGACCATCGTAATTTCAGCAGAGCAGTTAAGTATGCAATGCACCTTTTGCAATTGGCAGCTTTAAAGTGATGTGTGTGTGTATGTACGTGTGCATGCAGGGGGGAAGGGTAACTCCACTGAAAGGCAATTGTTTACTCTTTCTAAATATATTTGGCTGCAGGTATTCTTAGACTAGGCCTTTTACAATGAGAGGAAAACTCCGGTGTGGATATAGTAAACAGAGCTGAAATCAGTTAGTGACTACTTGGAATATCTGGAGACACGAGAGGTTGGGAGAGGGCATCACAAAAGGCAGGAATTAAAAAATTGAATCTCAGGCAGTGGATTGCCAGCAGAAATGTTGACTTTGAGTCACACAGTAAACATCACATTGTTGCTTTGTTTTCCTTTTTTGATTTATGATAAATTATTCTCCCGGGATTGATCGATGAGTGGAATCCTTAAAATTTAATTTGTGAATGATCTAGTATAAATAAAATGCTAATCCAAAGAAAGAAACCAGCAATTATTCATCCTAAACTCTGCTGATTCAGCAACTCAATTATTACTGCCTTTCTCAAGCTGCAAACTTTTCAGGCTGTTTTCAGAGTTGCTGTACCCGTCCTCCCCCCGCAAGAGAGACCTTCCCCCGTTCTCGGCTCTGCCTCCACCTCGGCCTCCAGCCTTTCTCTCTCTCTTTTTTTTTTTTCCTTCCCTTTCTTTTCGAGAGGCTGGGGGGGGAAGGGAGGGAAACAGTTAACCTCTTGAAGCGTATTTCCTCCAAATAAAAACAGTGAACTTACAAACGGAGAGGAAACCACGGATAACTCTGCAATAATTCAAAGTGTTTGGAATCAGAATTTTTTAAAACAGTGTTTTTAATTGAAAATAAAGCTAAAGCATGCTTTTCAACAGTGCAAATTTCCATAATTTTGATTTACTGCTTCCATCATCACAATATATTATACCAGCATGACTTACCGAGGGCTAGACTCTAGAAGTCTGCCTGTTCGACTATTTCGATATTAAGTGCAAATATAGATAATTGCCTCTGATTGTCACGTGCAGTAGAAATGTTTCTGCTACATAGAGAGGATGGCATGGCAAAATAAAACCCACGACAGCAAATTTCAAGAGATGAGGATAGAACCGGGAAGTGTAACACGGTTGAAACACTTGAGTTTTGGTGCCAAAAAGCTATGAATAACATGGTCTTCTCATTTTGTGTAATCTTTCCACTTACGGCCTCTCATTTCACTTTCTGTGTTGTATTTACTGCTTTGCTATTTCCTCCAGCCAGCGTGAGGGGCTGGACCATAAATTGTACTGCTGGCCAGGCAAATATTTTAGTTGCTTTGCAAGTTTGTAAGGGGCATGTTCAGACCACAACTTAAGTATGACATTAGTGGGTAACAGTAACCTTATTTAAGACCTCTGGGTGAAACAAAAAGGCTTCCCAATTGCAAAGAGTGGCTGTACAAGCAAAAAGACACCCTTTTACCAAAAATAGAATTCCACATTTATTTACTGGTTTCAAATGAGGCAGCTTTTCCCAGCGCTGGGGTCGCAGGCGGACACCAGGCTTTCCAAACCAGAGAAAAAGGAGTAAGTGCAACTGCTCTTCGAAAGAGACACCCCTGCACCCGAAAACAAAGCTCCCGAAAAGTAGATTGCTGCCACATTGAATTTATAGTGAACCCTTACTGTGCAACCATGTAACTTAACAAACTTTAACTGAATTAACAGTTAGACTTCCATTTTCGAAATCTAGTGCATAAATTTAATGGCTCATTCTAATATTTATTATTCAACCTTTTGACATTTATTTGCAGCAGTTGAATTGAGGTACTGGTGCATTATTAGCATTTAAACAGTAAAGTGTTCCAGCTTTACCGTAATAACTGAGTTTAACTTGAGTCTTTAGCCTGAAGTACTCTGTGGAATGTAACAAAATAAAATAAAATAAAAAAACCCAATGCAACAGAACAAAACAAAACAAAAATAGACCACCAAAAACAAAAACCCAAAATAACAGAAAAATCCCACCACTGTTGTAATGGTAAATAAAATAGTAATCCGGTTTCTGTCTTCACATTGTGATAAAACAGGATTCCAGAAGTGTGTATAGCATTAATGGGTTTGTACAAACCATGCTGCAGAGTTTAAAAAAAAAAAAAAAGGTAAGAAAGTTAAAGGTGGTTCAAGAAAATATTTTCCAAACTATTTTATTAATTAAATTTCCTGAATTTGTGGCTAGGTGGAAGAGGTATTGCAGAACCGCCCAGCTGCCATTTCCATACAGGATGGGCCTTGTGAGGTGGTTGGGAATCCTTAGTGGTGTTTAAGGAATAAGCTGGCAACAAATCCCCATCATTGCCAATAATTAGTGATGGTGGACAGGGAAAATTTGCCATGAAATTAAATGGCCTTTTCACTGCTGATGCTACATTGCTGGCTACCCTTTTGCGTCTATTGTTAACTGTAAAATCATCCAGTGTTCCTTCATGTGTCTCGATTTTACCTGTAGGACGTGGGCTTCGAGCTGATTTCAAATTTGGTTTGACTGGAGGAGTCTGCAGTACAGGTCGCTTTCCCAAAACCAGTGTCCTGTAATTTTTTCTCACCCTTGCTCCAAATTTATACTCCCCATCCTCAGGTTTTGGAGTACCTAAAGTGCATGAGAGGACCTGACTCTGAGTCAGCGGGTTTAAGGAAGTGGTTTCTTTCTCAGTGCATGCAGAATCTTCCTTGGCTGTTAATAAAGCGTCCTGGTTATTACTCTCAGTCACACCGTAAAACTCATCCTTAGTATCATTGCACTCACACTTTAGCTTATGTGTTGTAAGATCAGGCTCATACTCGTCGTTCGCACTGCTGTCCTCTATTTTGATTTTAATGCTGTGCAGGAATGGCAATGCCTTATTGCCTGTATCAGTGCACTGGAGCTCAGCTGCTGCTGCTGCCCCTGGAGAAGCAGCATCCTCCGCAGGATCAGTTTGTAAAGAGGGCAAATCCGTGGCAAATTCAATACAATGAGGGATTTTGGAATCTTTCTCTGAATTTGCTGCCGTTGATGAAGAATCATTATTTAAGAACCTAGCAGCTATTGTATTGTTATCTACACGGTGTGTAGTAGTTGCTTGAAGGCATTTCCTTGCCTCTCTGAGTATTCTTTGTTGTGGAAATGCATTGTTTGTCTTTGGGCTAGGTGAAGAGGCCCCCTTTGCAACACAGTTAATTGTTAGGTCAGTACTCTTGGTATTATTGGAAAATTCAGAGTGTGGGAATGTGATCTCGGATACCCTATCATCTCTTATCTCCGCGAAGCAGCTCCCTAGGCCGCCGGAGCAGCGCAGCGCCGGGGCGGCGGGACCCAGCGCGGGGCGGCCCATCCTCCGGCGCAGTTCCGGCTTGACTCCGCCGGAGCGCCGGGCGAGGACGGGCCAGCCCGCCGGCTCCGCCGGGGCGCGGCCGGGGCGCCGGGGGCGGCGGCCGGCCGCCAGCAGGTACCAGAATTGGCGTGGACCACGCGGGCGGCTGCAGAGAAGCTGAGTAGCGCCTGAACGCGATGCTTTTGCACCGAAACCTGGGCTGGGAGGACCGAGCTGGAGTCGGAGTCGAAGGTGCTGTCCTCCTCCTCCTCCTTTCCTCCTCCTCTTCCTCCTACCTCCTCCTCCTCCTCTGAGTGCGCACTCGCTGCGAGTCGCAGGCGCCGCTGCCTCCTCGATCCTCCTCCTTCCTCGTTCCTCGTCCTCCGAGTGCCCTCGCTGGAGCTGGAGAGCTGGAGCGCGCAGTCCGAGTCGTGGGCGGCGCGGCCCGAGAGCAGCTGGACTTCCGAGTCGGCTGCGTGGCCGCTACGTCGGCGAAGGCGGGCGGCCGAAGCGCGGGGCAGCGACAGCGGCAGCCGTTCGGGGCTGCCGCGGAGCCGCAGGGCCGGGCGGGCAGCGGGCCGGCGGCGCCGCGGGGCGGGCCAGCGTGCGGACGACAGCGGCGCCCCGTGGCGGCGGCGGCGCAGCGGCCCGGGCAGGCGGGGCGGCGCCGGGAGGCCGGGCCGCGCCGCGGCGGCGGGAGGGCGGCGGGCCCAGGGGCGCGCAGCCGCCCGCTGCCGGCGCCCGTTTCATAGTTTACGGGGTTTGCAAGGCGCCCCGGCGGATTTCTGGGTAGCTGTGGCCAGTGTATTTACTAAAAATGTGAGGTAGATGAGCGGCCGGTAGCAAGGCTGTGTCCCCCGGGCGCAGAGCTTTCCTCCGGACGGGCAGCAGCGGCCGGGGAGAGTCGCTCAGACCCAGCCAAAGTTTGTTCTCCTTCCAGAAGCCGGAGAAGGGGTCGGCGGGAGCGAGCTCCGGCCGGAGGTCGGCGGCAGACAGCGCCCGGCTTAGTTTCCTCCGTTTCGTCTTAAGTACCCGTTCGGTTTTGCAGGATGTGTACAAGGCTTCCACGTCCTCTCTGGAGATCAGGGTGCATTTGGCGGCGTGGAAAGCGATGGAGTTGATGGCTTTGAGTTTCCTCAACTCCTCCAGGTCGCAGTGATGCTTTTTTACTTTTAAATGATCCATTCGCTTGTGCACGGTAGTTCGCGGGATGTTTTTGAGCAGGTCTGTAAAAACCTGGGAGAGTGCAAACATTTGCTTTCCTTTAATGATGAGGTAGCCGAGCCTCACGCCATCCACCTCTTCAAAACCCGACTTCAGGTCTCCCATTTCGTGAATTAAATTATTCCCAGCATTTGCAGAGAGAGAGAGAGATGAAAAAAAAAAAAAGAAAAAAAAAAGAAAAAGCCACACACACACAATCCTCAGCCAGATGCTGTATTTGTCTCAAGGCATCCTGCTAATAAAATATAACAAAGGCTGTTATTCCTGGTGAATGAAGTGCCAAACTTTAGACAAAATTAAAAAAAAAATAAATTAAAAAATACCGTGAGGCTACAATCAATATATAATCTTAAAAATCAGGTTTGCCAAAGTGTTTCTCTAAGTTGCTTCTGAAGATCAGTACCTGTTCCCTTTCATTCCCTGCTTTTCCATTGGAAACTATGATAATGGAATGTGAAGGGAGGAAGAGAAAAGAAATGCAGCTGCTATTCCCGCCGCTGCTTTAGCTACAAATAAAATGACAGAGTGAAGTGAGCTCGTCCGGAGACACCTTCATCAATTAATTCCCCTAAAGCCAACGCTGATTGGACACTCCTGACAGGTGATGCAATAAAAATTGATATTCCACCCCTTCCCCCAAAAAATCTCCCACTAATTAGCATACCCTTATACTGCCACCTCCCCTCCCAAAGTAAATAATACAGTTAGTATATAAATCTTTCTATTAAACAATCCGAGCTCAAACATACTCAGCCCTCTCAGACTTCCTCGTCGCTAGCTTCCGAGGAAGGATTTGTATGCTTTTCCCCCCTATCGTTCCGTATATTTTCAGCCTGTTTTGGACAAACGTTGCTCTTTTGTGCATGCCGTGAATTTAAAGGACATAAGTCTGATCGTAACGATGGAAAATCCTTCGGTAACGTAGCCGCTTTAAACTAGTGTTTTATTCTCCATTGTGTGGAAAATGAAGCTTAGAGAAAACGTGCAGAACAGCCTGGTATTTCCCCTTCTGAGGCTCCAAAGTTAAATGTTCGGTTGCTAACGAGAGGGAATACTTACATTTTCGAGTTTCTCTTGATTTTCCTCTTCTGCTTAATTAGCTTTTTACAGCCCGGGACTAAGGTTATTTTTGCTGTCTGAGTATCACGGGTTCCTGCACCGTGATACTGTAACACTTTTAACTGAAATTCTGCCTGTAATATTGCGGGAGGGGGGAGGAGGACGTGAGCTCACGTCAGACCCATAACAAAGCATAGATAAGCCAGAAATGTATACACTTTTCACGATTAACCGTACTGGATCACGAGCTGGAATGTCCTATAGTCCCAGAGCCCACGTCAGGATTCCTGCGTGCTGATTGCTTCCAGCAGAGAAAGGAGAATGTAAAATATCCAAGGTGCTTCCAAGAGCCTTTACGTAATAACAAAAAAGTGCTGGCACACACAATGTACGATATTGCATCGGGCTAGGATGCTTCTGGCTCGCAGTTTGCATATTCCGCTCGGAGTAGCCCTGCCGAAGCTTTTTGATGCTCCATTTATAGCAGCCCCTTAAAATCAATTGGAAGAAGCAGCATGAATGTTTAACCTCTTCTTAGGAACGTTAAATTATTCGAGTGTCAGGAACGGGGATTTCGCAAATGTTGCGATAGCTGCATGCCTCTCCCTTGTCACGTTAACGTGATGCTTGCGGTTTGCACGTTAGGCGCTGCGAAAAAAAAGATCACCAATCTCTGCCGTGCATCCAGTGTTCCGCTGGATACAAACACCAGCACTTTTATGTATCACTGCACATCCAGAATTAGACACATCCGCGAGATTAATGAGACATCTCATATTGCTGTGACTTGGCAAAAAAATCGACGGAGGAAAAACAATTAAAAATCTTCAATCCCAAACCTCAATATCCACTCCGCATGTTGGCAATATGGTGCGTGGAGTTCGTGTTACCCCGTCAGGTACAGCTAAAAGAAAGCGCATAATCACTCTGTGAAAAAGCAGTTTTGCATGGCAAGGCAAAATGCAGGCGAGCCCCCAATTTCACAGGAATTCGGGAGAGAAGTGGGAATTTGGAGAAGTGCATCCGGGAATGGAGGAAGTCTATTCAAGAGAGCCTCCAACTCGGAGGGCTGAGATTTGAAAAGTCAGCCCTGGACTACTGTTGCTCTCAGCGCAGATGTAATCGCCGCTGTTCAACTTAATCCATGTGTGTGCGAACCGCGATGCCTAGTTCTTCCCTTTGAAACCTAGGGATAGTATTCCCATCCGAGAAAGCAGAGCTACAGCAAATTACATTTTGTCCCTCGAATTAGAAAAGGATCATTGAGTGGATCTCGTGATATTTCAGCCTTTAAACGTAACCGAGAGGCAGCAGTGAACAATGCCTCGGCACAGCTCAGACCATCCGCGGAGTTCGCCTTCCCTCTCCTCGCATCTGGATCCCCCAGCCTTGCCTTTCTCTTGCTCGCTCGTGTGAGAGGCACCCTCGTATATGCTGAGGCTGAAAGCAAAGTTTCGAGACAAAACAGCTGCTGGCGCTAAAAAGAAATCATCGTGGTCTTTCTAGAGCTAGAGACAATAAGGTCGTTTAAAAATTCCTCCTGATGTACTTATATGCTGCCAACACCCCCACCCCCTCCCCACTGCTCTCCTCCCCCTGCTTTAAGGTTAAGGCTATGGAGTCAACAGTAAAGGAACTGTAAACTCCGATAAAGCTGTTCAGAAGACGTTACCAAAAACCCCGATGGGATGAAAACTCCTTTATTTGTCAGGTAGTTCAGCTGGGTCAGATTCCCGTGTAAATCCACGCGTGCGTTCGCACGCAGGAAGCCACGGGCACCCAGACCTGCACCCACGCGCTGCCGGTGACAGCCAGGCAGTGGGATTCGGCAACTATTTTAAAAATGCCTTTTTTTTTTTTTTTTCTTTAATTCCGGCGCTACCAAACGTCTAAAACTAGTGACGGCTCTTCGGCAAACCTCGGGCTCCCGAAAGGTGCGGCCATGAGCACCGGGGCCGAAGCAGCGCCAGATGTCGGCAGGGAGAAACACACCAGAAGTCTTGGGAAATGTCAGGCGCCCAACCTACACATCCCCACCGTATACTTACACACACTTTCGGTTGCATATCTTTCTCCGCATCTCACGCGGAGAGCTTTGTTTCTTTACTTCTCCATCTTTTGTTTTGTTTTGGTTCTTTTCGTGTGCGTGTGCGTGTGCGTGTGTGTGTGTGTGTGTGTGTGTGCGTGCTTTCCCTTGGCCATTAGCACACATTGTGTATCCGGGGTCGTCTTCAAGCGGGCTGGGGGAGATCCTGATAAAGAGCCGTCAGAGGCCTCTTGCACACGCACACGCACATTAAAGGCAGGGGACTTGAAAATGGATTTGCACGCACACAGGGGATTGCAATCAATAGCCACCAACATTTATGGTTTAGATGGTTAATGTGAAAGCTGGTCAAAAGAATGAATATGAAAAATTAAAGGTGTCTGGTGTCAATTACGTGAAAAGTTATGCCATAATTTACTTGCTGGGATGTATGCCTGCGTGTTCGTGTGTCCATGTGCACGTGTGTGCAGACCCAGATGTACATGTAGCTATTTCTCAAAAGCAAGGGAGTTTCTTTGTTAATTTTGTGGACTGTGTCACTCTCGCTGGTGATCAAAGATGAACATGATTAAAGGGATGGATGTTTGTCTCACATTTCATAAGATAAGGACGCCCAGAGATGCCCGGTTTTGCCAAATACATACACATGCAACTACAGAGAGTTGTGTGTATGGGCGCACACACACACAGAGGCGATCAATCAAACGTGCTCCTTTTCACATTGAGTAGCGTGCAATCTGCAATCTACACTCTATAGCCAGTAGTATTTCAGTCTTGAAACTGTCTGGCCTAAGGATAAACCTCATTAGAAAAGAAAGAGCAAAATAATATTCATAATACTTTGCTGCAGACCTATTCCCATTTATTGGAAATCATATACTTGGATTTTTGTAAACTTGTGTTAAAATCTATATGCTCACAGGGAAGTGCTTAGCCATGTCATTCCAGAAAGAAAACGTGTGTAACATTTAAAATACTCCTTTTACGTGATGATTTATTTTCACAGTATGATTATGTTTAAATACCAGTGCAATTCCATCTGAACTCTTCCTTCTGCAATGTAGTAATGCACATAGCATTTACAGTCTTTTAAACATTTTGTTGGGAAATGCAACAGCGACGTCCACCACCAGTTGTACTAATGGGGAGAATTCTTTTGAAAATCTTCAGGAAAACCTAAGAGGTCATATGCATTTTAACACTAGAATTGCCACATTATTAGAGTATTATTATTATTTATTATTATTTGTTAACGCTGGACAACATCTTCAGGTACTGACAAGCATTAAATAAACCTTTTGCTTTCATGATGCTGGGCAGAAATACGTATTTCACACGAGAACTTGATTTCTTAACACTACACTCTGCTTCTAGGTACTGCTGGGCATATTTTGCTCAAGGAGGACACAGATAGAGAGCAGCTAGAGGCTATCACAAAGAGTCCAGTAACGTAAATATAATAGGGTCAAAGAACAATATAATAGGATCCTTCTGCTATTTTAAAGTCAGCCAAATGTGACTGTAGTACCTAAAATTTGCTGTAAATTCTACTCTGACAATGTATCAGAATGTATAACTAAATCTCCTAAATGTGTGGCACAAAGAAATACCAGCCACCAGTCCAGGAAAAAAAAATCATAATCTGGCTAACACTCTTATGCCTAGGAGTTTCAGGGTTGTTTTTTTCCTTTCTTTTCTTTTTCTCTCTCCCTTTTTTTTTTTTTTTGGTAAACAAAGACGAAATGCAGGGTTCTACTAAGTGCTTTTTAAGTTTTTGTTTTGTTTTTGGTTTTTTGTTGTGTTTTGTTTTTTTTTTTTGTGGGGGCTGGAATGTTTCTTGCACACTAGAATTTTGTGCAATTTATAATCACCACGAGCTAAGACTATTTCTCGAGTTTAATACTCATGGTAGTTTAAAAATACTTTTTAGCAGGAGTTTCTGGACACATACTACATGCCATGTTGTTTACTGACCCATAATCAAAATGCAGTGACCTTC